TTGTGTTGCAGAACTTGTGGGTCATCTCTGTACTTCGTTGCAAATTTCAATCTGGCCTTCTGATTCTTCCTGCTGATGAATGGTTTGCATCTTGTGGTGTGGCCTCTATATTTCTGCTCTCTGAGTCTTCTTCCAACAGTGGATTGTGATACCTTCACCCCTACACTGTGGAGGTCATTTGTGATGTGACTTACTGATGTTTTGGGGGTTTTCTTCACAACTCTCACGATATTTCTATCATCTATCAACTACTGTTGTTTTCCTTGGCCGACCTGTTTGACGTCTGTTGCTCAGTACACCAGTAGTTTCTTTCTTTTTCAGGACATTCCAAATTGTTGTGCTTGCTATGCCCAATGTTTGTCCAATGGCTCTGGTCGATTGTCCTTTTCTCAGCTTGACAATGGCTTGCTTTTCTCCCATAGACAGCTCTCTGGTCTTCATGTTGCTTTATCCTCTTTAACAGGAAATGCAGTCTTTATAGGTTTGAACCAAGGATGAAAACTTAGACTAGTCATGCAGAGCTATACCTAAAAGGCAACACCTGGGCAACAAGAAACATCTGTCAGTCACATACTCCAATAATTTTGCTCACTTGAAAAATGGGTGGGTTCAAACAGAGGGTGATATGTCCTGAGTTGTTTAACACACCTAGATGTGAATACCACGAAATGAGAGCTGAAATTCTGAACTTTTGTCTCATACTCATCTTTTGATCTTAAACCCAAATGTCTTCAGTGAACAACAAAAACAAAGGAATTTGCCTTACCCTTCCAATACTTTTGGAGGAGAATGTACATCTGTCGATAGTTAGCCTGGGGGCTGGGAAAGAGCGTGTCTGGGCTGACCCTGTGTGAGCAGACAAGGTTGGAGTGAGATATTGGCACAGCTAGGTATGTGGGCTTTGTAGAATCCCCGGACTTGAGGCTTCCTATTCACCTATTTTGCGTCACCATTCTGTATCAAAGGTACAAACACAAAATGGGGAAGCAGGCAGGACAAGACAGGGGTGTGACGTTTTGATAATGTGTAATATGTATGACACACAATGCAGTAAGTAAGTGAACCTACAGCAAGCGGAAATCCAGCTGCCTGACGCGAAGGTTATACGTCACACTAGATGCAGACACTGTTGTGTTACACGTCAAGCCTCTTTTGTTTCTGGAACACCTGCATGCTATACAATATCACACACTGGGTCAGCTGGTTCTTCATGTTTTCTGTCTAAAATCTGAATTATCTCAGATTCCCCCCTTGGGTCAAAGGCTGGTTTCTCAAAGACAGATTGTATCTGTGGCTTAGATCTAACATATACACTTCAGATAGCTATCCAAGCTCATCGGTAGGACAATACTGTACAGTCCTTGACTTCTTACTATGGAAGAACATCTTAGCTATGGCGATAGCTTAAGGGTATATTGTGGCTAACCTTTAGGCTAAGTTTTCATTTTTGTCAAATCGTCTCACTTGCTTTAGACTATTCTCAGAGAAAAATGAATACTGGCAGAATTTGTTTGCCTAATTAAACATATCTTAATGAAACTGGCCCGTGAAAACAGTTCCTTGTCACTGAATGTGTGGAAGTTGGAAGAAAATTATGTGCTCTGACTCTGGCCTTCTGGGAAATAAAAGGTTAGGTTGAATATCAGTGGGTTGGATTAAGGCATTGAGTACTGTGGGTGGAAGATGTATTGGATATGTCCAGGCACCCATCAATGTTCAGTCCAGTCTCTCATCATCCCCATCGAGCCACCTCGCTTATATTAATATTCCAGTATGCAGAGTCCCGCTCTAAGCCCCCAGCTCTACTCTATCATATCCAGCAGGAACTACAAATGTGTGTGTGTGTGTGTGTGTGTGTGTGTGTGTGTGTGTGTGATAGCCATATCCTCTCTGGTGAAATAGGGCTCTCTGGGGGCTTGTGCCTCAACTCTACAGCCTTTGTGGGCTCCCATTACTTCTGACAGATAGAGATCACTAAACTGCTGAACAAACACCCCATTCAGTCATTTGCATACATTACAGTAATGGAAAAAGAAAAATGTATCAATAAAGCCAAATGAAGTGCTTCCACTAAGCTTTACTTTCTCTCTTTCTTCCTGTATTTCTTTCATTCCATACTTATTTCTTTCCTTATTTTCCTTTCTTCCCGTATTCCAAAATTGCTACCGATCTACTAGTGTGAATTTCTTCTCCTGTTATTTCATGGAATGATTTCCCCTGAAAGGTAAGCACATCGGATGACTGATAAATTTGGCAGATTCTCACAAATTGTCTGCGCCAGAAACTTATCTGACTTTTGGTAAGACCTGAAATTTCTGAAGCCTAAACAAATTGGGAACACTAATCATGCACGGTTAAAAAAAAAAACAACATAATTTATTGTTGAATGTTTAATTAAAACCATGCTGCTTTGGGCCACACATTACATTTAAAATACCTTGCAGTGACCATGTACTCCTGAAATTAATCTCAGGAAAAAAAGCTGACAAGAGCCACAGTGAAACAGAGGCATATCACATACACATGCACTGTAAATTACTATCTCCATCTCTCTCTCTTTCTCTTTTTGTAACAGACACACACACACACACACACACACACACACACACACACACACACACACACACACACACACACACACACACACACACATACACACACATAGACTGACTCATTCATCACAGTGCCCAACAGTCAAGACAACAGAGCTTCACTTAACTTTTTCAGGGTTGCTCAAGCATCAAATGCATGACTTTTAGTTGTTGTTGTTCTTCCATCTGTCATGCTTCAAGGAACCAACATCCTTTTTTTTATCCCAGGGAAAAAAAAGTTTTAAAAGGTATGTTTGCCTTGGCTCTGCTATCTTATGTGTACCAAAGGAAATGTCAACCCAAAATATACAGCACTGTATTTCATACTGTCATTGTTCCAACACTTAGCTGTGCAACACAGATTAGAGTGCAACCTAAGCTCATTGCAAACACTGGTACTAAAAACCTCAGCAAATCAAGCACAGCCTCCGCTTTCTATCTCTTTATCTCTCTGTTTACTCCATGTGTATGAGGTTTCATTTCCATCGTCATGCTCGCTGGCACAAAAACAGCCCGACATCTAATATCTCAGGAGGTTTAAAGTGGAAGAAAATATAGTCCTGGGTGACAGACTTCAGCAAAGTGGGTTAAATTAAAACAAAAACACACATGTCCTACTGCAACAAACAGCCACACAGTTACCCCAAAGGCATTGAGCAAAATACGATTACATACTTCTGGTGTCCTATTATCATGTACTATGAACATCAAGACAAAAACAACTCGGGAGAAGAAAACACCTATGTTTTCTACTACATGGGGCAAAAAAATCTACACTAAAACTTCACAACCACACAGTAGAAGTACAATTTCCCTGACACATTCTTATTCTGATTACATCAATTCAATGACATCAATTTTATCACTTTATTATACACAGAAGATGTAATGCAGATCGAACACTGCAGGGAGTTAACTAAGTGAACACACGAGCATGCACTGTTCATCGCTTGACTCCTTCCTGTGCCTCGACGTGTCTACATCCCAAAAAATTCAACAGTGAAAATTATGATTAAAAAATATGTATAACTAGAGCAATTATGCCACTTGGAAAATCAAGGAAAGCGGAATTACGACACCCCAAAATTGAACACAACCCAGATTAAATATAAGCTTGTCAGTGCTTTTCTACTGGTGGCTACTTTAAATAAGGCAGGGACAAAAATAGACCTTGTTAAATCCTGCTAAGCCTCCTTCCTGGCACCAAAACTCGATCAGGTGGGATGGGGAGAAGGGGGGAGAGGGGAGGAAATGGGGTGTTTCAGGTCATGGCCAGCCAGCTCCTATCTGCCACACTCTGGGGAGGAACTCCAGACAGTGAGGGAGAGCCATGCTGCAGTATATCTACACTTCTCCATTTCCTCTCACTCAAGCCTCTAGTTCTCGAAGGAGCCTGGGAATCAATACTGACATCGGGGGGCAGAGTAGCTTTCTTGCCTGCCTGCTCTGCCTCCGAGCCGCTGCCGCCAGGGAGGTCTCCGCTTCAGTTTTTTTTAATTACACAAATTTAAGTGCCCTTCTTTGACTGGGAGCAGATTGTTAACGTGTTAGGCAGCTATTACTCTTATACCACCCAACGTGCAAAGTCAGCCTTAATAAATCTCAGACAAAAGGAAGCAAAAACCAGGTTAAATGCTGACTTATGTGTGAGGGTCTTGCATATGGAGACACCTACACACTTGTTAAATTACTCTTGAGCAATTCTTTGTTTTCTTAATAATGCTTGAGACAAACAAAGGAGACTGCTGACTGTTTTACTGTTTGTTTGTTTTTTGTTTGTTTCTTTTTCCATGGAAAGCACCCGGGCCCTCTGGGTATTGACAACAGACTTGATTTCCACCATTGATCAAACCTATACAGTGAGGACCTTTCCACTCAGAAAGGGCATTCAAGAAAGTGCAGAGACATGGCTAATTCAATTTGGGAGCAGGGATGCTTGGATTTAAGTGAAACACTCCGTTATCGAAACAGGAGAGGTGCCATGAGAGAAGATAGTGCACGGATGGTTGTGTGTAGAGGCTCATGGCCGGTCAGGAGATGAAATCAGGGATAGGCGATAAGTTGGTGCGAGGGGCTAGAGCCCCTATTAGAGTCCCGCAGGGGACAGGCAGCGGTGGCAGAGTGCAGTAAAAATAGCTACAGGCATGATTTCACTCTTGGGACCCAGGGAGGAGTGAAGAGGGAGATCTGATCAACATCTCACAGCAAGGCAGCCAGATCCATTCCCTAAGTTCCCTTGGGTGCCACCTATCACACCAAGTGACTTAAACTGCTTACCACTGCCTGGCAGGACACAAACAGCCACTGCTGTTGACAAAATGGTACATACATTGTCCTAATATGCTAGAATACATATGTTTCTGAGGAGAAAATTTGAGTATAAATAAATAACCACAGAAAAAAGGATATGGACATCTTTTCCACAAACTTATCTTGTTTGTTATCCGTTTTGGGGAAGTTCTCGATGTCGTTCTCAAGCCTTTGAATGTGACGTTCCATGGTGGTCAAACTGCTTTTTAAGATCTCAGCAGACACTGTAAAAAATGAAACAAAAAGATACATAATTCATTTCTTAGCAGCCACAATTAAGACTTGTATTGGGCTCAATAACAGATTTTCAACAATGGGACCTGATGAAAACAACAGAGACCTCTGTAAACTCTGTTGAAGTTTCAGTAAAAACCAGCTATGACTGAGTTAGACGGTGTGCTGTGACATACTGACTCCTGTGTGATCCATTTGTGTGTGACCGAGAAAGTGTGTGTAAATGTGTGTGTACAACGTGAGCGTGACTCATTAATCAGTCTGTAATCACTGTTTGCAGAGTTGCTGTGGAATCCACGGCATTTAGATCAGGGCTTTCAAGTGGAGACTTCAAACAGCAAGCAATGTCTTAGGGGATCAGACAGGACTGAAGCATGGATGCAGTACCATGTTTAGGTTGTTGTTAAGGGTTTAGTCTTATTGACACGCACATGTGCGCACGAACAGGTACACACACACACACACACACACACAAGGACACATCAAAACAACTTTTCTAAGAAAAAAAAACATGAAATAAAGGTTATATGCAGAATGTCAGTCACTTAAAATTGTCCTTTGATCTCTTTCAAGATAAACCTTCATATTATGACTACTTGAATTGCAGCCATTGTATTTAATTTCTCACTCTTTGCTAATTCACTGCAATATTGAATGCATTTAGTATACAGAGTACTTGATTGAAAGCCTTTTTGTTTTTAGTATAACATGCAATTTATTTTCAATTTAAATTGCTTTTGATATTCAACAGAGGGGAGACCACAGCCAAAGCCTAGGAAACGCTGCTGTTAACCCTGATGTCCAAAGCAAACATCCCCCTGTACTGGGGAGATGAGTAGTTACATAAGAGTAAATAGAGTTTAGCCTGATGGTGATGCTAGGTGGAAAAGGAAAAGAGAAATGCCTGCACACTGACAAATATATTTAAACAGACAACATTTTGAACCCAGTCGGATCTTCGGCCTGACGAAGATAGATTAAAAGCTAGGTAAAAGGTCATCGGGTGAGTCTCGAGACTAAGTGCATCAAGAGCTACGTTAATTTGAAACTTGAAGGTTGGGTCTGTACAACAGGAAAGGTCCCCCCTCCCCTGCTGTCTCATCCTTCCTTTTTTGCGGGAATGTGAAAGGCCCTCTCTAGAGACAGCGTTTGGCTTGTCCATTCTGGGCTACTGTAAAAACAAGGTGGTGCACCATGGCAGACTCCGTGGAAGAAGACCCACTCCCTCTGTATGTTTTAAAAATGAAAACATACTTATGAATATCATATTCAATTTCATACTTTGAAGCTTTTACAACTTCCATGCAGAAGTAAAAGACAAACAAAACAATACACATGCCCTGCTATATCAATGATGCAGTCCATTGATCAATGACTTATGAGAGATCTTGTTTTGACTTGTACTTGAAATCACTGGTGTCTATTTAACTGCAAGTGACATAACACCAGACAGATGTTTGTATCATGCAACTGCTCCATCCTATTTTGCACCTAGTAATGACTAGCTATTGATAACCAAAGAAAAACACCAATGAGGACAGCTCTCTTCAACAACTTTTAATTTAACCTACATGCCCCCACACCTGCAAGGTTAGTCCATCCACTAGACTGTAACTGAAGTACTGAGGGAGTGAAGAGTGGGGTCAAACCCAGACTGGAATAATCCCTGGTGGTCTGGCAAGCTGATTGGCCTGAAGTGACAAGCCTGTGTTAAAAATGCCAAATGAAATAGGTAAACCAAAGAAAACAACACAGGGCAGCTAGAGCCCCTCAGAACTGTAGACTGTCAGCCCCACAGCCTGCTTTTAACCTGATGGCATGACATCTGTCTGTCATCACACACGATTGGTTGGTACAGACTATGGATTGGTCAAGCATGCACGTAATCTCAACCTTTAGTGGGTTAGCAGTGTGGCGAAAAATGGGCATCATAGGAAAACGAGAAAAGAAGGGAAAGAGAAAAGATAGAGCTGAGAGGGACAGCATTAAAAGGAGAAAAGCCATGGAGGAAAGTGCCACTAAATGCTGTAAAATTACAGATATCTTCACGAACAAGGGATGTGGTTGTTATTTGCTAGCAGGCCTTAGTTTGTCATCTCACAACTACTGTTCCCCAGTTGATTCTATGTTTTAAGAATAACCTAATCATGCTAGGTAGGAAAGCAGGAGATGTGTATGCAAGGAAATAATCTGGATCACGTACTATTTTCTGTCAGGTGGAAGAATCTTCGCTGCTCAGTATAAACGGGCTAGGTCAGTCCAGGCCAATCTCTTTTCCCCAGCCTGAATTATTATCCCAGTCTGCCCCTGAGCGGGGTAATAGACAAGCTGTCAAATGCGGCCTCGGTGGCATAAGGGTCAACCTTGTCCTGCTTTACATCAATTCCATAGCTTGGATTTGCTCTTTCCTCTCATTTTCAATAACACTGGATGACAAGATTCTGGATCACATGCAGTCTAGGCACACTGAAACAACCTTCCACACAAATACAGAGGTAACTAAAGTGCGCTGGAATGCCCACATGAGCAGACACATTCACAGACACACTCAAACGTCCTGATGTGATCAGTCTGGAAGCAATACAATAAGAGTAAGGGGTGAGGTCACTGTCATCATTAGACTCTGCAGCTAGCTGACTGTCTGGACGGATCCTGTGACCAGGAGTTTCACCATCCCTCCTCTTCAATTCTCACATAACTGACTCCTGGGTATGGCAGTGAGAAAACCACATAGCCTGTTTCTCCACTGACGGGGGCCTCTGAAATCCACATGCTCTTGTCACTATGATCTCAGCCTCACTAATGGTGAGAAAGGAACACGAACAGCATGGTAGGTGGGCAGATGGATGCAAGAGAAGAAACAATTACATTCACATAAATATATCGAGGCATGGGGAGGTCTTTGTCATTCACTGTGGCTTTTGATAGTCTGTTGTTGCATGACTGATAGTATTGGTTAATAATTTGGCTGTAACACATAGTAACCATGGTAGCCAAGAAACAGTGGTTTAAGCGAACCGCGACGGTGTTTCAGGGGAGCCATTTACCGGATCAGAGTGAAGCCATGGTACTACAGAGTATAGTTTTCATGGGAATTGCTTATCGTTGACACAAACTGGCACGCATTAAATGTGGCAGCTGAAGTGTATATAATGTTTTGGTCTTACAAAAAAAATAAAAAATACTTGATACTTGATTGATATATGTTTTGATTTTATGGCTAAGTGCTTTTTAGAAATGCATATACATTAATATCACTTCCTTCCACACTAATAATCAAGTGTCTACAGAATCTAGCACAGATTCTTTTGGGATATCATTAGTAAAATTATAACAAAAATAACACAGCTATTTTCAGGGTACAAAAAATTGCAACAGTGATGTCTTCTGAATACACATTTCAAGTAGATCAGAGGAAAAACAGAGGGGATACAGGGGGTTGTACATACCGTCTTTCCAGAGAGAGAGGATTTCTGAAACATGTAAAATTATTCTAATGATTGCTGTCAGCAAGGCCTGCCAGTGTCTTTCAATGGAAATATCTCTGTCTCCAGGTTTTGAGGCAAGCCCATGCACACCATTTCTTCTTGGGTAATTTGTTACGGAATAAATATAAACATGTAATTTCTTTAAGTTGTCTGCTGTATGCTTTAGTTTGGTATGTTATTGTCAAGCAAAATAAATAACTGCAGAGTATGAGTGATGCATGGGGGGCACAGAAGAGTAAAAGACAGTCACAAGCCATCTGAAAGACAAAAAGTTAACTTAAAAGAAATCATAAAAAACTCCTCTGTGGTCAACATCCTTCAGTTTTTGATATAAACTCTGTGATACTGGCCCTTGACGCATTACTCATTCCCATGAACAAAAGACAGACAAAAAGTATTTCATTAAGCTTTGCCTGTTTCCTTCAAATAAACTGCCAGGAGAAAATACTGTGTAGCTCACAACACCAAATCAACTGCTATAATGTGAAGATGTCAACTTTATATTCAGTCATTTGTAGAAGGGGGCAATTTTCATTTTGATTTATAGACAAATAATACCAATCTTTTATCCAGTGTTCTTGCAGTACCGCCAAAGGTTACAAAGGAAATTGAGATTTATTTTGAGCGTTGCTGCCAACGTAGAATAAAAGATCAAGTTTTAAATAATCTACACACTTGTGAAAACAAAGACAAATGCAACATAAAACCAAAGAAGAAGGTCGTTCATGAATTCATTCATCACCATAGCCACTCAAGTGTATGTTTGAGGGTGTGTAGAAAAATGAGATTAGGAGAGAAAGACAAACAGACACACAAAAGTGATTCATAAACACAAACAGGACCAATACACTTACTATGCATGGCTATCTGTATGCAATATTTAGTGATGGGCACCAAAATGCAGTATTAAATGGGCCCTGGGCCCGTTATCAGCAACATTAAGTGGTATTTAAAATATTCAATTATTCTCCTGTTCTGAATTCAAAGACAATCAGGCAGCTAATATGCACACTTCAATACTTGTTTACTCGTCGCAAGTCATCGTCATCACAAAACTGTCTAATGTTATCACACATTGCAGATTTTCCTCATATGGTGCTGGCCTAATAATGAAGTTAAAGGTCCAGTGTGTAATATTTCTGAGGATCTATTGACAAAAATGCAATATAAGATCCATAGCTATGGTTTCAGATCTGTATAAAGACCTTACATAATGAACCGTTGTGTTTTTATTATCTTAGAATTAGTCATTTCTATCTACATGGACATCACCGTGTGCTACAGAGCGTGTTTCGTCACTATGTTCTTCTTGTAGATTTCAAGCATTGTAGACACTTCATCATCATTTAAATTTATTGTTATGGTGTTTGGTTAGCCACCTAGACTCTTTGTGTTTACCTTGTCAATGTTTGTATAAACTTTATTATGAGGTTTATAATGGATTGTGGTGCAGAAACAGTGACAATGTTACACACTCTTGGCTTAAATTTTCCATGTTATAT